CGTCTGTGAGCGAAACGCGTGGAAATCTCGAGCCCCCTTTGGGGCTCGCACTTAAAATATGCAATTCGAGCGGGCCATCGGAACACAGCAGATGCCGTCACTGTTGCGATTATTCGGGGACGCGGGTGCCAACCCATCCGATCAGAATTGGGCGGCAGCTCAAACCCACCCGCAGAAACGGCCTGCTGGCGGACGTAAACGAGATCCTGAACGACGGGTCGTACAAATACGCGAAACCGCCCACGGTGGAAATTCAGCACGCCATCAAGGTCTTCTCTCGGATGCCCTGCGTCTTCGAACTGAAGGGCACGAAACGCTTCGAGCCCGGGGACCCTCTGATCACGCACGCTTTTGGGCTGTATGCGTGGGGGCAACCATGTCCCCCCAAACGCATGGTCCGCCTGGGGGAATACGTTGGCCTCGGAAAACCACGGCGTCCTGGACCCTCGGCACCAGCATGGGAACTTTCGGCCCAGCTACGGCACGGGCACCTACTGGGAGACGCTGGCTAAATAGATTAACGCGCGCGCTCGCCGTGCCCCCCGTTTGCGTGCAGGCCCTGGACGATCGTGGCGCGATTCACGGCGACCCCGAGGCGGGCAGGCGCCTCCCCAACGCCCCGAACATGCACAAGACGGGGGACATCCACGGCGTCTATCTGGCACACGTCGGCACGGAGGTTCGGTTCACGGCCGCGCAGGAGGAACCGAAGAAAAAGTTGGAGTTCGCGCAGGAGCGCGAGCGGGAGCACGCAGAACGCGCGCAAATCCAGCTCTTTCGCCACCGCCACCAACCGCAGGGAATCTGGACGCAGGCGCACGGCTTCAACGCGTCCCCGATCCATCAAGAGGTCGCCGAACTGCTGGCTACAAGGCGACGGAGGTGCTGACGACGACGGCGAAGCCGAGGCGCGGGCGAAGAGCTTGCTCATGTGCAGGCCCAGCTAGCAGGAGCTCACGTGGCAAAGTTCGGGGCCGCACGCTGTACGCCGTTCGGGATTTACCCTGACGCGCGCGTCCTACCTGACCCCCACGCTTTCGCAAGGCCAGACGCTGCGCAAAGGCGTCACCACCAACTGCACCAGGGATGAAACCACTGGCCGCAACGGCATGCCGGACGAGCAGCGGCGGTTGCACCTCTAGGTCATGCTCTCCCGCGCCACGTGCATGCGGAACCTGCTGGTCCCGCGGCCGCCCGCACGAGACTTCCTGGAGCGCGGACCCCGGCGAACCTGCTGAACGCGTTCTGGGATGTCGAAAAGAGAGCGGACACTTCCCGGGCTGAAGGCGAGCAGCTCGCGGCTGCTGGGTTTCGCGCTGCCCCCTGCCTGAGCGCGACCGCGACTAGCTCCGCCTCCAACTCCTCCTCCTCCTCCTCCTCCTCCTCCTCCTCCTCCTCCTCCTCGTCCTCCTCCTCCTCCTCCTCCTCCTCCTCCTCCTCCTCCTCCTCCTCCTCCTCCTCCTCCTCCTCCTCCTCCTCCCCCTCCTCCTCCTCATCATCCTCCTCATCCTCCTTCTACTCCTTCTACTCCTTCTACTTCCCCGCCTCCTCCTCCTCCTCCTGCTCCTCAGCAGCAGCATCATCAATATCATCCTGATCATCTGGACTGGACTGGACTGGACCGGACTGGACTGGAAGCGGCGCTTGTGAGGGTGAACCTCCTAACGCGGGCATCGCAATCACGGAGGAAAAAAACGGCAAGGAAAATCGCTGCAACGCGCCACAGAACTCACCAACATGCATACAGTTGCAGTGCATGTCACACAGAACCAAATAAAGTCGAGTCTGCGTTTGCACCCAACATATGTGTAATCCGATCTCAGCGGTGGGACATTCGTCCCGGTCTTGCGCCACGTCCACCCATTTGAGGCCGATGGTTCGGAAATAACTGTCGCATTGGCGCTCCGAGTGCCAGGGTGCCACCCTGGCAGGATGTTTTTGTTGGTCAATAACTTCAGTCACGGCGGTCTTCCACTCGGCATCCCTATGACGCAATACCGTGCCCACCACATGTTGAGGATTTCTGGCCAGAACGCGCTGCAAATGACAAGCAGAATCGCACGTGCGTTTGAAAACGTAGACGCCCAAATGTGCCAACCCGCCGTCCTCCATAACCCGCTTGAGTATCCGGTTCCGTCGTCTGTGGTCGGTTTCATCTGTATCGCCAGGGCAACGGCAAACACGGAGAGAATGTTTGGCTTGGTTGGACCGTCTTCCGAAAGTCGGCTGGCTCCCTGTGGGTCACCGTCCACGCCCCGACGCTCCAGCAAAAACTCGCCGAGGCCACAATAGACATCAATTGTAATTCATTTTTCCGGGCCACCCCTTGGCATCCCCCGAGGCCACAATAGACATCAATTGTATTTTTTTAGTTCTGCGACCGCAGAACTACACACGTGCCGCTTGAAAACGACATGTGTGTGCGATGTCCCACCGACGGACATCATGCAGCCGAGTGCTTCGAAAGCTGTTCCCGAAGGACGCCACTTGAACATGCTCAGGTCGACCAAACTTTCCTCGCCCACGTGGCGGTTCGCCTGGTACTACTCGATATGGAAATATGTTTCGCGCTTTGTCTCCTGCATGTCGTTGTTAAGACGGGCCCTTTTCTCCGAAAGCAGTACCGCACTCCAATCTCTGGCCAACCAGCGCCGCAAAGGTCATCAGATAGACACTTCCGCAACACCTCCCAAGGGGCGAGGGCACCTGGAAGAGCAAGATGGTGAAGTAATGCCTTCACCATCTCTGCCACCACCATGTCAAAACGACGACAGTTCGTCTGAAGTTTGGTGTTATGGATCGCCTGCTGGAGCTCCCAATCAGAAACTTCTGGCATAGAGGCCCGCTGAAAACCCAAGACGGAGGTGACCATGCAGATTCAGCTGTAAACAGACACGTAGAATGATCACTGATCAGATTCCCCACTCCCGCATTCGTCGAAACTGGCTCCCTGGCATCATCCACCATGCTTCGCATTGCTATTCCCCCAACCTCCTTTACCTGGACGGTCGAGTATCTCCTGCAGTTTCTGTATGACCGCCTGCTTGGATAAATTCCCCAGCTCTACGAAAATGAACCTCCCCAGAAGCTTTCTCTTTGCGGCGCCACCCTCCTGGCGCCACAAACGTTTCAGAGTCAGAAGCTGTTCATCACGCCGCTTCTGCTTGCCTGATTTGTTGGGCGCCCCTGTTTCCATTGCGGCCCTCCTGAATGCAATGCCGAACTCTTCCAAACTCATGCCAATCCAAGTGTCGCCGGCCAACCTACACAAAGAGTGCCAAGTCACGCGTGCTCCACCCGATAGGTTTCCGCGCAATCCTGGGCCGAATTGTTTGCAACACGACACGTGACTGAATGCACCTGTGATGGGCTTCACCGGCAAATCCACCATCCCAGCACTCACAAAAATACTGAACTTATTAGTCACGACGTAGTCGATGAAGGACTTGCCCGACGAGGTCGAACATGTGAAGCGATCCTCTCGCGATATCTTCTGAAACGTGTTCTGGACACTCCACCTGCTCCGCAAGCACATGTGCAAAAAGGCTTCTCCTCTCGCGTTCCTGTAGAATCCACCGTAATCCCCGAGCGTGTGAGATTCTTCAAGACACGCAGTGCTGCCAACCTCGCTGTTGCCATCAATGCCTATGGCCAGGACGTCACCACATTCCAGATGAACTTTCAAAACTCGCTCCAGGGACGAAAATTGGTCTGAAAAGACTTCCATAACGTGACCCACATGGCGAAAATAAACTGACCTCAACAGAAATCGCTTCCCACACCAACGCAGATACGCACTAATCAAGAAATTGTTGTGAGCTGTTGGACGTTCGATGCGACCATTACGTCGACAATGTATGAGCATGCATACTCCGTGTACCCCGCCTGCCCCTGGCGAGAACAACAGCCCATGGCCCAGGAAAGAAAGTCCGACTCCTCATTCGAGAAATCGCCGGCCACGCCTCCCATCAAGCCCTTCTGAATTAGAAGCACGTCCCAGTGGACATGTCGAAGCTGTAACTTCCCCAAAAACTCGGCCAAATGATCATCAGTCTCATTATCGTGCTCATTATCATCCCTGTCACGCTCGTGTGTTCGAACACTTCCTCCTCCTCCTCCTCCTCCTCCTCCTCCTCCTCCTCCTCCTCCTCCTCCTCCTCCTCCTCCTCCTCCTCCTCCTCCTCCTCCTCCTCCTCACTCTCACGGGCGTGTGTTCGAACACTTGGGCTCCCCTTGGAACACCCTCGAGGGATCTCCCGGGACCATGTTGGGCCCTTTCGTGCCCAGCGGGCAGCTGCGTTGTCTTGCTGCCGCGCCGCCGTCCTCTTGCGATTTCTGGATGGCTCCTCTTCGGCGGCGGGGGTCGCAGAATCATGCCTGGAGGCATATGCGCGGACGAATATAGACGAGCACGTTCCACTACTCACAAAGCCACTACTCGCAAAAGGCCTGGATCCGCCGCGAGGGATCTACAAATTAAATCGAAGCAGACATGTGTTTTTCGAGGGTTTGCGAGTAGGCACTTTGCGAGTAATGGAACGCCCTCGGTGAATCTTGGCCGCGCCCGATCTTTCGGAGCCCTCCCTGGTCGTCCTGGATGCCGGATGCCTGCTCGGGGCCTCCTGGGGGCCTTCGTTGGCTCTCTTGGGCCGCCTGGGGGCGTCACGGGGCCGTGTGGAGGCGCCCCTGGGCCATCTTGGTGCCGTCTTCGAACCCTCCTCGGTCACTTTGAAACCGTCTTGGGGGCATCTGGGGAGCCCTCCTGGGCAGTCTTGGAAGGCCATTGGGGCCCTCTCCCTCCTCCACTTCATCCTCCTCGTCCTCCTCGTCCTCCTCCTCCTCATCCTCTTCCTCCTCGTCTTCCTCCCCCCCGGCTCCTCGTTCTCCTTCCAATCCCCCGCTATCCTCCTCCTCATATCCTCCCCCTCACGGAACTCCAGGTGATCCTCCGTCATCTCTGATTATCAACCGTCTCCCCCTCGCAAAGGCAGCGGCACCTTTTCCGCATGACATACCGAGCGATCAGCTGAGTGACCTCAGATTCAGTCAGGAGCGATATCGAGGAGCACATAGGCACGAGGAGTGAGGGGGGAGGGGAGAGAGCGGTCAACTGACGCGGTCAACTGACATGTATAATTGGGACAGACAGTGCACGGCCGTGCATGCACGTGTCGAGGCGACAGTGTGCTCCCGCAGCCCCAGCCAAAGAGAGAGAAACGCTTCACAAAAGGAAAGAAGTCGGGACTGGCTGCAGCGTGAAAAAGTCTTCTACTCACGCGAAACCAGCTCACGGAGGGAAACATCGACACAGAAAATGACGACACATCGCTCGGCGACAGATCCATGATAGCGAATCCGCTGTCTTGGGAGAAGTGGGCTATCGGGCCCCTTTCGGCGATCAGTGGGCATGTGGGGGTCGATGCACCCCCCTCTGATCCCGTCCACCCCTGACGAGAAGCGGTGCTCACTGCGCCAGCCAGGCCGCCGCCGCAGCGGCAAGGGCGAGGCCGAGCGCTGGCCGCTGGCCGACCGAGCCGCTCATAGTGCACTTGAGGCGGTCCATGACGAGCGGCGAAGCGTCCTTGAAAGAAGAGCACCGCACAGCACAAGCGTCCAGAGGTCTGTGCGGATGTCATGGATCGGCGCTGGACCCCTGCCCCTGGCGTGCGGAGCGCGCCAGGGGCGGCGCTGGAGGCGCCGCCAGAAAGACCCGACCCGAAAAATCCGCGCGGGCCTCCGAGAAATCACGCACGTTCCCCGAACAGTGCTTGCACGTAGGGATTCGCACCTGTCTGCTAAGGAACTGGACTCATTTGTCGGGTCGGCCCCCTTGTTGCCACCGTCGCCGCCCCGTCGCCGCCTCGTCGCCACGGGTTGCCTGAGCTCGTTTGACACGTCCACCGCCTTGTTGCCGCCGTCGCCGCCCTGTCACCGCCTCGTTGCCGACCGTTGCCTGGGCTCGTTGGTCGGGTCCCTCGCCTTGTTGCCGCCGTCGCCGCTCCGTAGCCGCGTCGTCGCCGCCCGTCGTCTGGGCTCGTTTGTCGAATCCGCCGCCTTGCTGCCGCCGTCGCCGCCCGGTCGCCGCCTCCTTGCCGACCGTCGCCTGGGCTCGTTTGTCGGGTCCGCCCCGTTGTTGCCGCCGTTACCGACCCGTCGCCGCGTCGTCGCCGCCCGTCGTTTGTTTTCGGGTCCGCCGCCTTGTTGCCGCAATCGCCGCCCCGCCGCCGCCTCGTCGCCACAGCACGGACTGCACAACATAGATTGCGCAACCTTATACTGCACAAGATAGATTGCACGATCCAGCGTGCACCACATCGATTGTTCCACAAAGATTGCACAACACTGGTTAACACGCGGGTTAACCTAATTTCAAAAATGGGAGCGACCCCCCGGATGTAATCGCCCCTGGCTTCGCACTGCAAGTTACACACGGTTTTGCCCCATCGCCAATCCTAAGTATGGCCTCGTAACATCTCAACCAGGCCAATATCGACCCCCTTCCCCGCATCCTCGGCAAAAAACTGTGCGCTCACCCTCGCTTATGAAGAATCATCAGTTTTCCATTTTCCCTTGCAAAAAACCGGACGAAGTGCACACGCGCGCATCGTCGCGTGCGCATGCCGAAACCCATCGCAGGGGAAAAAAATCAAAACAAACAAAACAAACAAACAAAAAAAAAACGTCGGCGTGGTAACGATTTCAAAACAGAGCGCCCCGAGAATACGGAATTGCAACATCAGTTTTCAAAAATCATGCGCTCGCGCTCTTGCTAATTATAGAATCGGTATTCAACCTTTTCATTTTATTGCGTCCGAATTGACCCCCCACGCGCGCGCAGAAATCGTTCGAATGCCCTGCGCGCGTGCTACCGCAAGAACCCCTGGCACAAAATTCGGCGAAAAGCACACGCGCGGGTCGTCGCGCGCGCATGCAAGGGATTCAAAGTCGGTGTCGCAAGGGATTCAAAGTCGGGCGCAACAGAAACATTAAACTAACATATGGCGTTGCTACAAAACTTCCCACACCAACAAAACATGTGCGCCCGCGCTCTTGTGAATTCTGTTTACTGATATATGTGATGTGTCACTACTGCTTTGAAGGAGTTATGTGTGTACATATAATGTGTTTCAACCGTTCCATAAGATGTTCCCAAATTGGCGTCTCGCGCGCGCGTGTCGAAATCGTTGGAACGTCGTTGCGCCCGTACTGCCGCATGAATTTCCGCTACAAAAACAAACAAACAAAAAAACAACAACAACAAAAAAAAAAAAAAAAAAAAAAAACGCGCGCGTCGCCGCACGCGCATACCGAAATCCGTGAACAAAGAATGTCGAACCCGTAAGGATGTCAAAATCGAGTGCCCCGAAAATTCGGTATTACAACATCAGTTGTCAAAAGACCTGCGCCCGCGCTCTTGCGGATTTGCCTTCCAAAGAAAATTGTGTATTCCTACCTGAATTATCACACCTGCCAAACGTGCCTTTTCGCGCCGCATGTCGAACTCATTCGAACGCCCTTGCGCACATGCTGGACGGGGGGGGGCCGCGACCCGTGTCGAACAAAACCACGCGGGCCACTCGCGCGCGTCGGCTTCGCGCGCATGTCGAACTATTTATAAGCCTCCATCGCCGACGCGAGGCCGTCGTCATCGTTATCGGAGGGCGTGATCAACATCGGCGCTGTCATTGGCCTTGCCGTCGTCGTCGCCACCATCGCCACTTGCACTTCTACTGTCAAAATCGTGTCTACCATTGTCGGCGTCGCCATGATACCGCGCCCGCCAAAATCACCGATTCGCATTGAAGTGCCCGCTGGCAAGTGCCCAGCGGTCATCGCCACCGCGGCCGAGTCGGTCGCGCAAAAGTTGCTGGCCGCTGTGCGCGCGACAATGCGCGCGACTAGCGCGGCCGCAGAGATGTACCAGCCAACGCCAAGCACTCATCGTCATCGCCGCCGCATGGGTTTTGCAAACCAAGTTGCGGGTGGGCGGGGGGGATGGTTGCAAGAGCATGGCATGTTTCAACTCTTTTGAGAAATATCAGTTGCACCGCATATATTGCACAACGTACATTGCGACCAGATACAATCCTTCACATACACGGCGAAACATGCATTGCACCACGTAGACTGCGCCATGTAAATCTATATATATATATATGGTACCGCATATAGTGTACAACATGTATTGCTAGAAACACACTGCTTTGGATCCGCGCTGGCTAACATGTAGTTTGTGTTGCTCGAGTCCTGCATGATGGCGGTCGCGGCCTCCTTGAGCGCCAAGTGCTCCACGTAGGCCATGTTCAGGACAGTGCCAGTGCGGTTCATCATCGTGGTCTGGATGTAGTCTGGCATGGTCTCGGTGATGCTCGGCGCAATCTTGCTGAGGACGTCGAGCGCCTCCCTCTGGGACTCGATGCCTTTGTACGCCGGCTGCAGGTTGGCCTGGACGATCTTGCCGAGCAAGCCGCACGCTTCGGTCGCCTTCGCGTGGCCTAGGCGCGCTGTGTCCATCCGCTGGAGGTGGTTCTTAAACTCGACGCTGCGCGTCACTCCCTGGAGGGCCACGGCAAGGGTGTAGGTGAGCGTTTCGTTGTTTCCCTCGTCCCAGTGCCGAAGCTTGCCCATGAGCACGTCGTCGAAGTTCTCGACGCCCGTGACCTCTGCCCTGGTCTCGTTGAGGAGCTGGGCCAGCCGCGCCAGGAACTGGTGGTCGTCGTAGCCCTCGCTCTGTGCCTTGAAGGTGGCCACCTTGTGCTTGATCGCCTCCAGCATCTTGGCCGAGGAGATGGCGGCCTTCACGCGCGACTCCTCCAGGCGGCCCTCGATCCACAGACCACTCACGCCGTCGCTGCTCCAGTGGGCGAAGGTGCCGATGACCCTGCCGAGCTCCTTCTTGGAGACGTCCAGGGCCCGCCGCACGCTCTCCTCGGACAGGGTGCCGTTCCGGGCCGCCTCCGGGGGGACGGGAAGGATACCAGCACCGCCACCCCCCTGACGCTGGACCTCTTCGATGGTGCGTTCTGATACGTTCTGACAAAGGGTGGGGCGAACCCACGGGTGGCGACGAAGACCTGCCAGGAGGCACCGAGGGGCGGAAACAAGGCAAGGGCACCGGTGTCGGTGCCTCTTCCTCCCCCCAAGACATGTGCCGATCGGATGTTTCGTGGGAGCCCGATCCACGGTCGCTGGCCTGAAAAGATTCTCCCAGGGGGGTCAGGGACCAGGGGACCCCCCCCATTAAGAATCCGAGCTTCATATCCTGTTTCTCCAATGTTCTAGGATAGCGGCCGTCATCGGCCCTGCCACCCCACCCCAGATGACGTCACGTTCCGCGCCAGCGGCGTCTGGAATGCCGAGGGATGACCGAGGCCAAGTAGGAGCAGCATTTAGGCGTCTATCTGCACCACAGCTCCTGTGTACACCGTGCACCACAGCGCGCGTGTACACCACAGCGCATGTGTACACCGCAACAGCCGTGTGCAACGCAGCGCCTGTGTACACCACAGTGCTTGCGTACACCACAGCGCATGTGTATACCACGGCGAATGTTTACGCTGTAGCAACCAGGTACAGCACAGCGCCTGTGTACACCACAGTGCTTGCGTGCACCACAGCGCCAGGGCACACCACAGCGCCTGCGTACACTACAGCATCCGCGAGCAACGCACCGCTGGCGTACACCACAATGGCTGCGCGCACAGGACAGGTAGAAGGAGCATGTAGGTGAGGGTCCACTGCAGACACCTTAACACCACGACAGGGAGATGTCGGTAATATACACCCCCTCCTCCTCCTCCTCCTCCTCCTCCTCCTCCTCCTCCTCCTCCTCCTCCTCCTCCCCTCCTCCTCCTCCTCCTCCTCCTCCTCCTCCTCCTCACCTCCTCCGCCTCCGCCCCGCCTCGCTCCCCCCTCCTCCCCCTCCCGCCTCCTCCTCCTCCTCCTCCCTCCTCCTCCTCCTCCTCGCCTCCTCCTCCTCTCCCTCCGCTCCTCCTCCTCCTCCTCCTCCTCCTCCTCCTCCTCCTGCCTGGCATCCTCCTCCTCCGCCTCCTCCTCCTCCGCCTCATCATCCTCCTGCTCATCATCATCCTCCTCCTCCGCCTCCTCCTCCTCCGTAACCATTTTGGCTCAAGCCGTTTCGGCTCAGGCTATTTTTTGTGAAGCTCGAACGTGCGTCCAATTACTTCGAAGCGGCGAGTGGCGCGAGCCAAATATTTTCCGTGTCAGGACGGCGCCAGCCCCAGCAGCCTGCGGGCAATGGCACCGCCACCAGATGTGCTACCGGGTCCGAAGACCCCTTTGTGGAATTGCAATTGCGGATGTCCCGACAACTGGGCGTCACGTATCAAGTGCAGGGGGTGCGGGAAAGCAGCAGCGACTCGCATCGTCCAAGCGGCTAAGCGGGCAGCAGCGAACCTCAAGAGCCAATCCCTCTCGGCTGCTCCAGGGAGAGGGGCTAGAGGGGCCCGGTCCCAAGGCCCGCCGCCCTCGCTCATGGGCGGCGCGGCGCAGCTGCGCATGTTGCACGAGCTCAGGGTCAAGATGGCGCAGCTCACTGGCGAGGAAGCTCCTGCGACGCCGCCCTGGCAGAGCAAGGGCAGCGACAAGTCAAAGAATGTGGGCGGCCAAAGCAAGCCACCAAGCCAGGGAGCGGCAGCCAACAGCAAGGGGGAGCTCATTTTCCAGGCGATGGTGGAGGCCCTCAGGAAGCAAGTCTTGGACTCGAGCGTGGTCGCGGCGGCCGCAGAGGCCAAGGTCAAGGCACAGGCCGCCAAGCCGCCATCTGCGCAGTCGCTGCGCTGGAAGGTGGAGAATCTCAAGAAGAAGCCGCAGAAGGCCCAAGGCAGGCCCGATACCATCGCGCCGCAGAGGGCCGAGCTCGACAGAGAGCTCCTCGAGGCCAGCGACACCACCTCCGCGGCGGAGGCCGAGCTGGGCACTGCCAGGGCGGCGCTGGACGAGGCCCAGGCAGGCGAGCTCGCAGGCTCAGTGGCCCTCACCGCGGGGCTGGACCAGAAGGTGCTGGACTCCCAGCGGGGCGAGGAGGCCCTCCCGAGGTGCTCTCGCAGCTCCACCCCCAGGCCTGAATGCCGAGGCGGCAGCAGGTGGAGCGGCGGTGGCTCCTCTGCTGCCGGTGGCCCAGCTGGCGACGAATGCTGGCTGGAGGGGCCCTCGGGCGCACAAATAAATACACACACGTAAAAGGATTCCACATGTTTCCCCATATGTTCTGGGTTTCTGCCTTCCCCCCAACTTCCCATATTTTCCCATATTTTCCTGGAAGTCGACGATTAATTGTGTCTGTGTTTTTCCCCTCCTGACTGGCATCGACATGCCAGTGGGCGAGGACGACGACGACATCGGCCTCGACCTCCTCGGCGACGACTTCGAGGCCAAGCGGGCTGCCTTCAAGGCGGCAGGCGAGGCTCTCCGCAGTGCTGCAGCGGAGGACAGAGACGATGCCAAGCGCAAGTATTCCCAGGCAGCGGCGGCGCTGGGGATCAAGCGCACACGGCGTGTTTGACGAGACGTGGTTCGGCGGCGGCCGAGGCATGGCTGACGCCTTGGCCGTCTGGAACTCAAGGTCGTGGACCTGGAGTGGCCTGAGCTGGGCTTCGAGGTGCCAGCGCGACGACCTGTGAAGGTCCCATCGTCTCCGTGGAGGAACAGGTCCTGGACGGCTTCCTCCTCCGGTGCACTCACCCGACCTGAGGAGAAAGCGGAGGACCCCCCTTGCGCCCAAGGGGGGGAATCGCCGGAGGTCGGGCAGCAACCGCCAGCAAATGGGCCGAGGACCGCGCGTGCATCAGTCTCCGCGTCGACAGGTGGCAGGCGGGTTCCCCGCACGGACCACCACAGGGAGTCGCGGGCAGCCTCCGATAAATTGCCCGACGCGACGGACGTTGCGCAGGTCGGCTCGGCTGCGTTGGCCGAGCCGACGCCGTCATCCTCCTCCCCATGTGGAGCTCGATGCAGTCTCGAAAAGCAAGTCAGACCGCTCCAGCTGGTGGAGCTCGTCTAATATTTCCCCAGATGGCCAGGGATGTGCATTCCCCTGGACTGGGGACATGCTATACGGCGATGGCCAGCTCTTCTTCCTCTTCGGTCGTGGCGGGGCAGCCGCTGCTCCATGGGGTGATGGCCTAGGTCAGGCTTGCCCTGTGCTCGAGGAGGAGAAGAAGGAGGAGGAGGAGGAGGAGGGGGAGGAGGAAGAAGAGGAGGAGCAGGAGAAGGTGGTGGAGGAGGAGGAGGAGGAGACGGAGGAGGAGGACTGCGACCTGGTGTGGCTGGGCGTGGTGACTCCGTGGGAAGGTGCAGGGGCCCGGCGGCTTCGTCCGACCGCGCGCGTGGCCCAGGATGGCCAAGGCGAGGTGGTGCACACGTATTGCCCCAGGTGGCCACTCCTCCTCCTCCTCCTCCTCCTCCTCCTCCTCCTCCTCCTCCTCCTCCTCCTCCTCCTCCTGCTCCTGCTCCCTCCTCCATCTCCTCCTCCTCCATCCTCCTCCTCCTCTCCTCCTCTCTCCTCCTCCTCCCTCCTCCCCTCCTCCTCCTCCGCCTCCTCCTCCTCCTCCTCCTCCACCTCCGCCTCCTCCTCCCTCCTCCTCCTCCTCCTCCTCCTCCTCCTCCTCCTCCTCCTCCTCCTCCTCCTCCTCCTCCTCCTCCTCCTCTCCGCCTCCTCCTCCTCCTTCTCCTCCTCCTCCTCCTCCCCCTCCTCCTGCTCATCCTCCTCCTCCTCCTCCTCCTCCTTCCTCCTCCTCCCTCCTCCTCCTCCTCCTCCTCCTCCTCGCTCTCCTCCTCCTCCATCCTCCTCCCTCCTCCATCTCCTCCTCCTGCTCCTGCTCCTCCTCCTCCTCCTCCTCCTCCCTCCTCCTCTCCTCCTCCTCCTCCTCCGCCTCCTCCTCCTCCTCCTCCTCCTCCTCCTCCTCCTCCTCCTCCTCCTCCTCCTCCTCCTGGACTGGGGACAGGAGCTACGCCGAGTACCAGGTCCCTCACCACCGTTGCCGAGCGTCTGCAGCCGCAGCTCCCGGTGGGCGACGGCCCTGGCCAGGCTTGCCCCGCGCTCGGATCCGGCGGGCTGCGACCTGGTGCGGCTGGGCGCGGTGAGGCCGAGGAGGAGCGCAGGGGTCTGGTGGCACCTAACGTCAAGGCAAAGGCGGTCGCTGTGACTGCGCGGACCCGTGTCGACGTCAATGAAGAGCGTCAGAAGCCGCAGACAGCGCTCACCATCGTCGGCTTCAACGCTAACACGTGGAGCTTGGCAGAGACAATTCTGGAGCGGGTCGCCGACAACTGCGGCGCGGGCAGCAAGCTACCCGAGGTCGCGCCCAGGAGACTAGGCTCGAGACGACCGACAAGATGATCTCTGCCTCGAGCTAGTGCGCGAGGCGGCATCTGAGGCAGGGCCAAGTACGACGCAGAGTTCTTCTGGCGTGGCAGTGTGCGTAGGAGACCACCTAGCGTCCACTCAGTTGAGCCCCATTGAACGGTTGCAAGAGTCGCATCGTCGTGCAGCAGATTATTGTCGGGTTCCCTCAGGGCCTGCACGTCGTGTCCGTTTACTTCATCACGGGCCCCGAGCTGGCGGGGCCGAACATGTCTTTACTGGAGTCTCTGGGGGGTTCCTGCTCGGGCAATCCCGCCCATGGATCATCCAGGGAGATGTCAACTTCGCGCCGTCTGACTTGCTTTCCTCGGGGTGGCCCCAGACGGTCAGAGGGGAAGTGGTTGCCCCGATGCAGGCCACTTGCGCGGGCGCCAAGGTTGGAAAAGTTCAGCTGGACGAATCGACGCTTGCACCTGTCCAGGATGTTCCCGACAACTGGGCCACGGAGGTCGTAAGTTCAACTGAATGTGGGCGCACGCTCGACTTGTTTGCGGTCGCGGAGCGTTGGCCTCGAGGGCCCAGCAGGTGACAGTTCTCGATGGAGCCCCTCTGCACCGCCATACGCCTGCGT